CACCGCCTCGAAAGATCAGAGAGAAAGACTGAGACAGACAGTGACAGAGTTTGTGTGTGGCAGCTCGGAGCTGATGCACAGCTGCAATGTGTGTCTTCAACCAGGTTGTCTAAGTAGCAGTTCAAAGACTTGTGGGTGTTATCCTGTCAATAAATGTGACACAGTCTGACAGGGAGGTCCCCTGGGTGCTACTAAAATCCACATAGGAGCTTGTTGTCTGTTTAAATTCAGCAAAAATGACAGCAAAGGACCCCACAGTCAATAGTAAAAAATATATTTTGGGTGTCATCAAAATTGTCAACTTTCAGTCATGCAGCCAAAAATAACAACATTCTTTTCTATTAATCATACTACAGCATGCACTTTCGTTGACCTTGTTTCTTTTCACTATTCTCTATGTTTGTAAACAACACTCCTCACTGGGACTGAATCTAAACAGGTTATCACTCCCTGTTCAGCACTTTTCTGAGCTCAGTTGTTACTCTTACCTTGCGCGCTTCCATCTGGGCCTCCTGCTGACAGCACTGCCCGCAGTCAGGCTGGAGCTTGGTGAGGCTGAACTCCCCGAGTAGGTCACAGGAGCTGCACAGCAGGTTGCTTGAGAAGCCCAGCTCTCTGCATGCTTCAGAAGACAGGTCGGCGCCGTACGCCGACAGCTGAATGGAGGAGGAAAAATAACAGAGAAAGAGAGAGGACAAAATAGAAAGGATTGAGTGTGATATGAAACTATAACTGTGATATGACACTATTATTGTGTGATGTCCAATATTACACTAATTACTGTGTGCCATGACACCATTACTGTACTTTGACACCATTACTGTGATTTCACACTATTACTGTGTGATATTACACTATTACTGTGATTTGCCACTATTACTGTGTGATATGACACAATGACTGTGATTTGTCACTATTACTGTGTGATATGACACTATTACTGTGTGATATGACACTATTACTATGATTTCTCAGTATTACTGTGATATAACACTATTACTTGATTTGTCACTATTACTGTGTGATATGACACTATTACTGTGATTTGTCACTATTACTGTGATATAACACTATTACTTGATTTGTCACTATTACTGTGTGATATGACACTATTATTGTGATATGACACTATTACTGTGTGATATGACACTATTATTGTGATATGACACTATTACTGTGTGATATGACACTATTATTGTGATTTGTCACTATTACTGTGATATAACACTATTACTTCATTTGTCACTATTACTGTGTGATATGACACTATTACTGTGTGATATGACACTATTACTGTGATTTGTCACTATTACTGTGTGATATGACACTATTACTGTGATTTGTCACTATTACTGTGATATAACTATTACTTGATTTGTCACTATTACTGTGTGATATGACACTATTATTGTGATATGACACTATTACTGTGATATGACACTTTAACTGTGATATGACACTATTACTGTGCGATATGACACTATTATTGTGATATGACACTATTATTGTTATATGACACTATTACTGTGTGACATGACACTATTATTGTGATATGACACTATTACTGTGCGATATGACACTATTATTGTGATATGACACTATTATTATATGACACTATTACTGTGTGATTTGTCACTATTACTGTGATTTGTCACTATTACTGTGATTTGTCACTATTACTGTGTGATATGACACTATTATTGTGATATGACACTATTACTGTGATATGACACTATTACTGTGCGATATGACACTATTATTGTGATATGACACTATTATTGTTATATGACACTATTACTGTGTGACATGACACTATTATTGTGATATGACACTATTACTGTGTGATATGACACTATGACTGTGATTTGTCACTATTACTGTGATATAACACTATTACTGTGTGATTTGTCACTATTACTGTGTGATATGGCACTATTACTGTGATTTGTCACTATTACTGTGATTTGTCACTATTACTGTGATATAACACTATTACTTGATTTGTCGCTATTACTGTGTGATATGACACTGTGACTGTGATATGACACTATGACTGTGATTTGTCACTATTACTGTGATATAACACTATTACTTGATTTGTCGCTATTACTGTGTGATATGACACTGTGACTGTGATATGACACTGTGACTGTGATATGACACTATGACTGTGATTTGTCACTATTACTGTGCGATATGACACTATTATTGTGATATGACACTATTATTGTTATATGACACTATTACTGTGTGACATGACACTATTATTGTGATATGACACTATTATTGTGATATGACACTATTATTGTTATATGACACTATTACTGTGTGACATGACACTATTATTGTGATATGACACTATTACTGTGCGATATGACACTATTATTGTGATATGACACTATTATTATATGACACTATTACTGTGTGATTTGTCACTATTACTGTGATTTGTCACTATTACTGTGATTTGTCACTATTACTGTGTGATATGACACTATTATTGTGATATGACACTATTACTGTGATATGACACTATTACTGTGCGATATGACACTATTATTGTGATATGACACTATTATTGTTATATGACACTATTACTGTGTGACATGACACTATTATTGTGATATGACACTATTACTGTGTGATATGACACTATGACTGTGATTTGTCACTATTACTGTGATATAACACTATTACTGTGTGATATGGCACTATTACTGTGTGATATGGCACTATTACTGTGATTTGTCACTATTACTGTGATTTGTCACTATTACTGTGATTTGTCACTATTACTGTGATATAACACTATTACTTGATTTGTCGCTATTACTGTGTGATATGACACTGTGACTGTGATATGACACTGTGACTGTGATATGACACTATGACTGTGATTTGTCACTATTACTGTGATATAACACTATTACTTGATTTGTCGCTATTACTGTGTGATATGACACTGTGACTGTGATATGACACTGTGACTGTGATATGACACTATGACTGTGTGATATGACACTATTATTGTGATATGACACTATTACTGTGTGATATGACACTATGACTGTGATTTGTCACTATTACTGTGTGATATGACACTATGACTGTGATTTGTCACTATTACTGTGATATAACACTATTACTGTGTGATATGACACTATGACTGTGATATGACACTATTATTGTTATATGACACTATTACTGTGTGATATGACACTATTATTGTGATATGACACTATTACTGTGTGATATGACACTATGACTGTGATTTGTCACTATTACTGTGATATAACACTATTACTGTGTGATTTGTCACTATTACTGTGTGATATGGCACTATTACTGTGATTTGTCACTATTATTGTGATTTGTCACTATTACTGTGATATAACACTATTACTAGATTTGTCGCTATTACTGTGTGATATGACACTGTGACTGTGATATGACACTATGACTGTGATTTGTCACTATTACTGTGATATAACACTATTACTTGATTTGTCGCTATTACTGTGTGATATGACACTGTGACTGTGATATGACACTATGACTGTGATATGACACTATGACTGTGATATGACACTTTGACTGTGATATGACACTTTGACTGTGATATGACACTTTGACTGTGATATGACACTGTGACTGTGATATGACACTATAGCTGTAATATGACACTTTAACTGTGATATGACACTTTAACTGTGCCATGTGTATGTAGTGCTTTAAATAATTGAGGAATATCAAATAATGCTGTACAAACCAATAAAACATTCATGCTTAAATGACAATACTAAATGTGGCATGCCTGTCAATGCATTATTGAAGTCCTATGACTAACAGAAAAAATAACAATAAATATGCTTAGACAGAAAATTATGTTAAATTTATAAACTGCTGAGCTGTAAATGGCTTGCGTTTTGTAAACTTTACTTACCATTTGCAAAAAAAATAATCAAACTAGATTTCTATATCTTAACCGCAACTTGTTCATGAATAATGTCAGCACTGTTCTTCTGTGATACCATTCACCGTGTTGTGGTAATGTGGCCTGACAGGTAACCAACACATTAAATCATTAACAGGATGATTCACGGTGTATGGACGACACTGGCTGCAGGTAACCGTAACACGGAAGATTATTCAAACTAATCAATGTGGGTCAAACTGGTTTCGGTTTCAAGAATCAGGAAACTAGAGTAGGCTACTCTAGAATATGATAATACAGAAATGTTTAAATATATGTGGACAGCTCTCGTCTTGTAGGTAACTTCAGGTGTATAATTAACACAATAAAAGGCTGTGTGTGTGTGTGTGTGTGTGTGTGTGTGTGTCTCCTTTACACAACAGATTTGATCCGGATATGCACATTTTGAACACCATCAGTCGTAAATAAGATCTGTCTTTCTCCGTCAACACGGACGATTTGACCCACCACTTAGTCGTAACATATTTTAAAGGTGTTATAAACAAACAAAGCTTCACTTTCCACACGCAGCTCTCAGGTTTAAGCCACGTCACTTTGAGGCTCCGGGCAAAGCGGCTCACTACACTGAAGGTAACGACGAGCATCTGACCGTCTTCACGTCCCTTTCTGCGACTCAAAGAACACTCCCCAAAGCTACAACGTTATCATTTAAGTGTTTAATAAACTCACCGTTTGTAATAGAGAGAGGAGCCACAGGAGATAAACCTCTCCCGACATTTTAGACGCTGCTTTGTTAGCGGAAAGTACTCCAAGGACCCCTGTGCTTAAGGAAGGGCTGCCCACATTGCGCCTGACCCCTTTAAGTGTCATGACTGGGCATACACGACTTCAAATACGTTCAATATCTGCTAAGGTGACATCTAGGAAATGGGGTTTTGTTAACGTTCACGCAAATATTTATGTTTTAATAATACATTTATGCGCGATATTGCTTCTTCACTTAAGGCATTTTCACCAGTCGACTACAAATATTCTTCCTCGCCTCCGCGGCTGTAATGGATACAAAAATGAACTGCGACACCTGCCGTCCAAGTTCAGGTCAGTTTGTGAAAACGGTCCAATCCGGGTTGAACAGACAGTTATAGTCGACGAATAGAAACCCCAAGCTGTGTGGTGGACTGTGGGTACATCCAATGGCCTGGGTGTGTAGTAGTAGTGTGTCCGTGGTGCGGTGGTGAACACACTGGGACAGGACAGCGCTGCATGGGGGACGCAGGAGACAGCGGCGGGCACCAGCGATCGTACTGTGGACAAACCCCCCTGGTGCTCTATGGCGCTCCGTTATTGGGAATTGAATTAATTACATCAATGAGCCGAGCATGAACACATCGTTTTCGAGGTAACCAGCGGATCTGAACACTGGGAAATATCTACTCACTCACACGCACACACACAGAGGGAGAGAGAGAGACAGAGAGAGAGAGAGAGGGAGAGAGAGAGGGCCATGCACAGACACTCAGCCGCTTTGTAATCACCATCGTTTGTCTGTGTTTGCAGTGTCTCCTCCTCTGAGCATGGACTGACCACATCTCTCTCTGGATGATTTGATGGGGCTGCTCAGAGTCATGATGCCGCCCAAGTTGCAGCTTCTGGCGCTGCTGGCGTTTGCAGTGGCCATGTTCTTCCTGGAGAACCAGATCCAGAAGCTGGAGGAGTCCAGGGGAAAGCTTGGTAAGTTAAAGCCTGATTCAATCCCTGTACAAAAACCCCTCGAGGAGAACCTATAGGCTGTGCGGCAGCCTGTGGACCCCCACCCCACCACCACCTCTTGTGTGTGGGCTGTTCATCACCTTTTGTTGTGCATTGTGGTCATTAGAGGCAATCCTTTTCTCTAAACACACACCGCTTGGTTTGGTTCAGACTGAGTCATGAAATGTTAAAGCATCTGCCCCACTGAACTTTGCATGACTGTGACTTGTAAAAAAAATCTTTAACTATTCCAAGATGTGTGTGAACCTGTCGTCCTGAGCTGTGCAGTGTGAGACTGAGGAGCTGCTGCTGTCCTCAGTATGTTACTCTTTGATACAGAGTGAGCAACAGTGGGCTCATTATGCAGTTTAAAGTGGTTCATAGTCTGGTCTTTGTCTCTGTTCAGCAGCCTAGTATCCTTAAGGTATTCTGCATACAATGACTGTATTAAAAAAAAAAAACATTTGAGAAGCTGGTGCTGCAGAGATTTATGTTTTTCTGAAGAAAATACCTTTTGTTACTTTCACTTAACATGATTGTGCAGATTGGTGGTGTGGAGTGTGACTCAAAGTTAGTGTGGTCATTCATGAATAAAAAGTATATTCAGTGCTCTAAGAATTGGCAGAAAGCCTGTTTATGCTCGGTGAGGTTTTTTTTTTTTTTTGGGGGGGGGGGAGTAATACTCTGCATGCATTAGGACGCTCCCATGCTGCAAATCCTCTCCTGCCCCTTCACCAAACTCTTCCCTGTGATTGAAATGTGGCCCGGCACAGCGTTCAAATCTCATTTTCGGGCTCCCATCAGGGGCTCGATCCCCAGTAAAGATCTGGGACATTGCGGGATTATCTCTCCCGCTGCTGTGTAGTAACAGCAGCTCGTGCACCTCAGGGGTTCGAACAGCACCTCTAGTGTTGTCGGGTGAAATCGGACGGAGGATATGTTAGAGCAGGGAATTTACAGGTGTAGTCGCTTTGACAACGGCTGCAGTGAGAACTCCATTTATAGGTGAGGCAATGTTTGGTGTCTTGCGTCTGTGAATGCTGGTCTCATTTAAGAGGCGCACTGTGACACTTAATGGAACAGGTGGCAACACTGATGCTGTTAGTAACACCGAGGGACTTTCCTACCATAGTGAGTACAAATGTCTGCTGTGGCATCTTAACTTTTGTATATTTTCACACCAGAAGTCACTCTGGATGATAAGACCGATGCACATGTTTTTGGTTAGGCGCATTTTTGCCGCGAAATGATATGATGTAACCAAACTTAATGTAGTTGTAGGATTGCTTAAGGTCCAAAATATATCAAGAGTTACAAGATGTGTTTGTGTGTTATGACCTTAAGGAGACCAGGCCTGTTGGGTGATTGTTTATGGAAATGTTGGAATAAGCTGCATTGCCTTATCTTAAATAAAGTGTTAAAGTAGACAGTTTATTCAGAAAAACAAATTTGCAGTTTATTTTATGATCCTCCAGATAGTCATCAAAGTATACTTAACCCTCTTAAGATGGCTATAAAACATACTGGAATCACTTAATCATACATTTTATGGGGTGCCTGTTTCGCTCAGCGGTTAAATTACGTGCGCTGTTACAGAGGCTGAGGTCCGCTAAGCCACAGCTCGGGTTCGACTCCAGCCCCGTATATCATTCCACACTCTCTCTCTTCCTGGTTTCCTACTCTATCCACTTTCTATCCTCTGAATGGAGGCAGAACATGCCTCAAAGAGTCTGTTTAATGTAGAAGACATTTCTACATTAAAGAAACAAATAGTTCGAGGTTTTTTATTGCACAGATAGAGAACATGTCGGGAGAGTTTTGCTACAGCAAAGCAAGCATTCAACCTTAAATATGGTCATCACATTATGAGCTGCCCCTGCGTAAATAAAGACAAAAAGTGTGGTTCTACACGACAGCATCCAGTAACTCATGGATTGGACATGATTCATTTTCACATAACAATCTGAATTGAACACAATCCACTAACGTTAAGTGGTTTGAACAAGATCAACGATGAAATCCTTTTGATTTCTCATCGCTAACGTCATCATCTTGGAAGTTGCAGTGAGACTTTTTCTTCAGGATATTTCGAACATTACTCATAAAATAATCGGTGGATTAATCTGGAATTTAAAAAAGAGTCGCAGCCTTAATCAAGTTTACTTTTAATATTCTGTGATCAAAAATGATGTGTTATTGTTTTTACAGTCGACAGTTCTAGATATATGTGATCTATTTATGAACTGATTGATCAATCGATCAGGCTCATTGATGATTATTTTGAAGTCAATGTTGACAGAAATCAGTTCATGATTTTCCATCCTTACAGCACTAGTGAGGGCCTGATATAGATAACATCATGCCACCCTTACTGGGGCGAGAGCTGAACCATTTTCAGATCAGCTGGTGAAAAAATCACTCATTTAAACTAAAATGATACAGCTAGGGGAAAAAAATGAAAATTGTTAGTTCATCATGGAAGTTAACAATCATCTTTGGGTTTTTGAATGTTGGAAAAATGTGTGAGAAGTATTAACCACCAAAAACGAACCATATTCAGACTTTGTGTTAACCAAGAGTGAATCAGCTGTGAAAGTCATCATTACAAGACTAAATCCTGTAATCCTGGGACTTACAGGCAGCTGAGTAACTGAGTCCGATTTTGTCAGGTGAATTTTCATCAAGTTTTGAGGCCAGATTGGGAATCAAATCCTTGAGTTTTGGTTAATGGACTTAAGTATCCCAGCTGAGTTGTCACATGTCACAGGAGTGCTGGTGGTATAGATGGCTGTATTGGCCTGTGACATGGTTTACTGCTGCTGTAGAGAGCTATTCTTTACACCCACGGAGACACACAAATACACACACCCTCTCCCAAAGCTGAAACACAACCCCCCCCCCCCCCCCCCGACTGCCCAACACCACGAGAATCTGTTGACTTGGCACAAAGCGCTCTGATGGATGACAGGGCCCAGCAGACGTCTGTATACTGGAGCTCTGAATTATGTGCTGCATGGGGAAATAGTTGTGAGTGAGGCTTTCAGAGGCGCGGCGCTGACAGACTGCTTCGGGGGCCGGACACATTACCAGGTAGGTACGCCTGCTGCAGGTCTGTCTGTCCAATTATGAGAAAGCTGTGTCACTATTACAACAAAGAACGAACCCCAAATCCTGCTCTTACAACAAAATCAGCTCCAAACGTCACCTGTATCATGTGTTCACAGATTTCAGTGACCTGCGTCCTCTCCGAGCAGAGAGGGATGCTGTCGCCTGAAACACCTTTGAATCAATTCCCCTTAGACTCCCCCCGCAGGGCAGACAAGCTGTGATTTGCTTCCAAGCTAATCGTCGTCTCCAGGTTCCTCTGAGTCTCCTGCATTACAATCACGCCGCTGTGCAGCTGTGTGTCCTGCTGTGGGCCTAATCCATTATTCTGACAGGATTTCTCTCCGGCTGTTCACTGCCTCTGCTGCTGCCGGCTGGGTCAACGGTAACGCAGGCTGATTGTGCAGAGATGGATGGAAGGAAGAATGGATATAAAGTTTCTTTAATAAGGAGCAGCAAACAGGGATTTAAGGCCACCAGTCATTAACTCTATCTCTGTTCACTTCCTGCGCTCACCTTGAAGAATTTCAGCATGTCTGCAGTCTGAGGCCGACCGTCCTTTGTCTCACTGACGTCAGACAGGAAACAGATGCCTGAATTTGATTAAACTGTGATTAGATCTTCTCAACCGGTTGAGAAAATGTGATTAGATGCTTAAAAGTGAAGAAAACCCTGGGGATTTCCCCAAGTGTGTACTATATTGAGCAGTAGCTTAAAAGCCATGAACAATGTTTTTTGGTGGATAAAAAGAAGCAAAAGAAATAGTCTCCTCGAAGTAGAAGTAAGTTATTGTCTTACAATTAGGATTAAGTACATTGTATATGCTAATAAGTTGATTGTCTTCATCGTACACAGGATAATGTTGGCATCCGCTCGACTTCTCCATAAAGATGATTAAAATAATGATTCACTTTTTGCATTTCATTTTTTTCTACGCGCCACTTTGATTTGGCACCGATTATGTTTTTTTTTTAAAGTGCAAAGCTGGCTCATGTGAAGAAGTCAAGACTGAAGGGTGAGATTTCCTATCCCTTTGCAATAAGATCATAAAAGATGATATTGCGAACCAGTAGGATGTGTTGTGGGAAATGTACGATACCCATCACGTTCAGTGAGGGCTCTTAAGCCACATCATTTTAAAAAGATCTCCTCTCTTTTCTGGCTGAAAGCATGTTCATTACACAGTTGAGTGCATCATTATTTGTGTAACATCTGTCTTGCTATCTGCTTTTATAGATTCAAGCCTTGCCACAGTTATTTCCTCAGGGAGAATTTTCATAAACACAAAGAAAAGCTCAGTCCTCGCTCTTAAAATCCACGATTTTTTTAGCAGCTTTTCCACCCGTTTTGAATTCTGTAGGTTGTAGAGCTTGTCGTCAGGGGTTGGAGGTTTAAATAAAGAGGACATCTATGGTATATTGAGAGCTGCGTGAATAGACACGTTGCTTATAAAACTGTCACCCTGTGGCCCCTGTAACTGGACCAAATGACCTCTTCACCTTTGTGCCCTGCAGGCCATGTGAGGGCTGTGTGTCACCTAGCAGCAGAGACTTTCCCCCCACTGAATCATCGCCATTACTCAGCCTGATTAAAGGAATTCAATTTCTATCTGTTGCTGGGTGATATTTAGCTCCAGACACAAACAGCTCTGTGATGAGCTCTGAGAGACCAAAGATGCTATTGAACGCAGAAAAAGGATGGAGATGCATGCGTCCATTGTCAAGAGTGGGAGCTGCGCTGACGTTACTCTTTTAAAGCATTCAATTGTCCTGATTTGAATTTGATACGTGTTGCTCCGAGGCTGTGGGTTGAATTTGACTTTGATTGTCATGCCAAGCACTCACAGCTACAAGCCCACTCCCTGGCTCTGCCGCCGG